ACGACACACTCCGCAAATCCCACGGGTCACACGCTGGGACTAAGATCTGTAAACATCCAACATATGCATCGATATAAACAAATGAAACTTACAGAATTACGTATACACAACACTCTTAGGCGACTGTCAACTTACATTCGGTTATTACAAACTCGCGGTGTACAAGATTTACCTTAAACAACCGGTACAGATCTTCCGCTGAAATACCACTTTGGTCAGATGAACACACATGGCTTTTTAGTTTCCCAGAATCCACTGGATCGATACCCGGTATCCTCTTCGTTCCCAGGGTTACTTCTCTAGCACCCCTTTTCCCATACATAAGTCTAACAGGTGCATTTCCACCCGGCTACATATGGTAGTGCAGTCCAGCAGACATATCTTTTATATTACATCATTTCTTTTTGACATATGATATCAGCAGTGATGGTCATAAACAGGACACATTAAGACTTTGCTGATTGTCAAAACAGCGAAAGGTCAGGTATGGCATGCTCTTGCTTCTTCAACCTTATCAAGAAGTCCTAAGTTTTATAGACCTCAAAGAGTTTGTGGTCAGTGTGGCCACCAAAGATGAGGTTTTAGGAGATTTGGCCCGGTGAGCCGAGGGTTCTGATGGGCCTGTGGGTGATGCAGAACAAGCTGTTTACTTGGAGATAAACTCTATGTGTCCCTCCCTACTTCCTCCTTTCTTTATCCCTCTGCTGCCTGACACTCCCACTCTAATTAAGGGCTCTGTTAAAACCACCCTGTTATTATAGCACTCTTTGGTTCACACAAACACTCACAAATGCACACACACCCAAGGTCAATTAAACAGATGGCTTTCATGTAATGGTTTGGGTTGCATGGCTTTGAGGTGACTGTAGTATCAATTTACACAGAACGCACTTTTCATATTGACTTTATTTGTTGTTGGTCTTGGAGTTTTCAAGGAATTTGGGAGATCCCCCCTGTATCTGTCCATTTAGTGAAATCTGCCTGAAATAACCACCATGAGAGTTTGCTAAACATAATTTGCATGTGAGTGTATGTGCGGCTGTTTGGAGTCAGATGCAGACCAGACTGGGAAAAAGGCACCCAACTGCATTATGAATGAGGCTTGGCTCTTGTAAGGCCAGCATGGGGTTTCGTAGCACATTAATCATTAAGAATGTGCATGGGGTGGGTGAGGGCACTGGTGGCAGACAGAATCATCCTGCTTAAGTAACCCTTACCCCGATCATACACACACACATTTACAATAAACCTACAGTAGTGTATGCATCACTGCTTAATGTTCCAACTACACTAATAACTATATGGCTCTGCTATTATTCGTTGCTTGGTTTCCAGCCCTATGGGATCATTTACTGCACATTTACTGCACACCAGAATAGGCATGTCTTGTAATATACTACCTTCCATCTTCAAGAAGCTATTGTAAAAAAAAGAGTAAGTTTCACACATTTACTCTTGTAGCCAATGGCAGAAGTTTTTGGTGTTAATTCGAATTGGCCTGCATTAAATCCTATAACTTTATCAACAAAACTTCCCACAATGCACTGCATATTACACATATCTTTAATTTCCTGAAGTGGATTATAGCACTGCAGAGATACCTGGGTATAGTGTAAAGCATCTGGACTGAGTTATCCCCCTCTGCTGACCTCTCTCAGTGAAAAATGTCTTCTTCTGTTTGGCTGTGAGGCCAGCTAGCAGACAGGAAGGTCAGTTAACTGCCTTATCAATGTTTAATTAGGCTTGCAGCATATTCCTTGCTTATGAAGACTCAAGTAGCTCTGACAGTGGGATTCAAGACAAGAAAAATACAGCAATTTATGTTTGCTACTCAGACAGAATAGCAAATATAGAATGCATTTTCATGCTTTTTTTTTATTCAGTAAATATGACAAAAAGAAGAACTTTGCTGCTGAGTGAGAATTGTGATTCTGGGTTGCTGAGACAGTTATTTAATGTGGCTACAGAGGCCCTGAGGGACTAGATCAAGCTAATATGTTAAAAGGGGGATCCACATACAGTAATAGACATTCACTGTGGGACAGTACGAGGTGAAACAATGACCGGATGTGATGGTTTGGTATATGGCAGACCTCCAGGCCATCATAAATCATGAAGTCCCTCATTAACCACATTTATGTCTCCCCACTTGCTTTTAACTTAAACCACAAGATATGATGTTGTGGATTCTGGATTTGCTTCTCAGCATTGCAATGAAATCATGTGTACAGTATGTGTCCATGCCTGTGTGTGGGCAAACTTCAACAGCAATACTGGAGAGAACAGTTTTACCTTCTCATTCTTTCTGAATTCTTGCCCATGCAGGAACAAGCTCTTCAATTTTCTTAACCTGCTCAGTCAGCACTGTGCCAAAGTAGGCACATTATGAGCCACAAACCTCTCCAAAGAGCACTTATCCTCACGCAGAACTTTGATCTAGGCCTGCTTTATAGACTCCTAAATGCCATATACAGGCACAGAAAGATTTTTTAAATCTGCTTAATAAATGCTATGTGCAGCCACCAGCTCTGCAGAATGACAAAACATATGGGAACCCTTTAAAGGAGACTGAGCAGTCAAATCAACATTCGTTTTCTTCACGTAATCCACTGAGCCTTTTCCATTGCTTGCCTTTGGGGCTACATTTTCTGTAGTTCAGAGAAGTACACACTGTTCCCTGCTGATGGGGGGAGTTCTGAATACTTCACCCAAATTTAGGGGCTCTTGTTTCAGGCAACACCCAAAGCTTAGTGAATACCAAAAGCATTACATATGGGAGTGGCTGACCAGAAACATGTGTGTTTAAATGTATATACAAACACATTCTGTGATAAAAAAAAACAAAGTCACTGTCATACATTGAAACACAAGAACAAGAAGAAGAAGAAATAAGAGAGATGAGGCTACAGAGAGTGAGGAGAAGGAAATATGAGCTGAGAGTGAGAGGAGACCCGCTTAATTATATTTTCTTTGGACATCATGTGTTGTCCTGTGGCAAAGCAAGTGCCATTTTGCTTCAATCCCAGCCAGAAACAACAGGTGTACAAAAGAGTCAAAACATACACAGGCTGAGGAATCTGTTTCCTATTTCTCAGCATGGAAGTGTTTCAATAAGATGAGACTACATCAGTGAAAGGTTTGCTTGAAAACTTCAAAACATATAAAACGTATGTCTAGCCATTTACACACATGTTTCTCCTCTGATCCACTTTATGTACCACTTAACTAAAATCTTTATAACCAATTAGGGCATATACAGTAGGAAATAAAAACTACTTCCATCTGTAAAGAGCTATATGTTTATGGCCTGTTGTTTGTCTGATCTACAGTATGGAGCAGATGGTGTCCTCTGAGTGGTTAATGCTGTGGTTTGACGTGGCAGAGAGTTTTCAGGGGAACTTTGACTTCACTACAGCTTTTAAAGACAGCGAAGCCAGTAGTAAAGCAGTTCAGTTTTGAGTTATGAACTTTTTGGACTGTAAGTTCCTTTGATTTTCTCTTCACTGCACTTACATACATTTGTTTTGTTTCTTTCTTTGTTTCTCTCTTTGTTTTTGTAGATGAAACACAGCAACTTTCTCAGTTAAATGGGCCACTGCTTGGACCCGCCCATGGACACCACAGTGCCCCCACTGTGCCCCCTCCTGCCCACTCCCACTCCTCCCCAGATCCCCCCTTCCTCCTCTTCCCCAGGCTGCGGCAGTGGCAATGCCAACTCAGAACAGCATGGATCTGGACCCCCAGTTTCAGGAGCCACCGGCACCCCAGCCTCCAGTAGCCCATCCAACCCAGAAACAGAGGAGGACAAGGCCAAGAAGCTTCTGTACTGTTCATTGTGTAAGGTGGCAGTCAATTCCTTGTCACAGCTGGAGGCCCACAACAAAGGTGGGTTCATTTGTGAGCACAGATACACATGAAATTGCTGTAGTGCTTCTGCACTTTCCAGAAATTAGCTGGCAATCAAACAATGAGGGACTTACATCTTTCTCCTTGGATCTTGGGCTGAGTTTCTGGAGTTGGAATTTTCTCTTTCATTCTGTTATCTATGGTTACAAGCAAACTGTTGTTGTTTTTGCTGGAGACAAAATGTTTCACATTCTGTGTGTCAGAGGAATTTTGCCAAGAAAGACCCATGTAGTAACTGCTAATAGCTGCTAGAGCGGAATTTTAAAATTTGTCTAAAAGTGTAAAAAAAAAAATTTGATGCAATGCAAATAGAAAATGTAAAGGCAAGAAGATAACACTGTACTAAAACAAACAGACAAACAAAAGCTTAGAAATTTAAAATTACTCTACCTAACTTCTTTACAACTGCAAGAGGATCCAGTGGCTGACAAGCAGACACCAAAAACCGCTCCTTAGAGCTTTTTGCCCCTCTCATTACATCCTGTCTCTTAAAGCTGCAGTGTGAACTACAGATGCCTGGTTGCAACAAACTGCACAAAATGCAGCCTCCAGTCCAAAGTTAGCTTTAACTGGCAAACAAGTAAATTTGACAACTCAGTATAACGCTCTGATTACTGCCAATGTGATGCAAAGCACTAACATTACACAGAGCTCAAATAATATATTAATTCAATACAAAGGAAAATCATGACTATGCCAGGCTGTTAATGTTAGACAACATTTTATATTTATATCATAATGAAGTAATAACTGATAGTTGTTATGTGTCCTATAACAATTTTTATTAACCGTGTGAAGGTTGGGTTCTGTGTATTAACATGAAATAACAAAAAAGTACATTATGTTTCTTGCTTTGGGCTCTTTACAGCTGCACACACATAAACATTATGCAAACACTGTATGACACAAAAACCTGAGTGCACTCCCTATAGTGCACCTGCCAGGGTTCATGAATATGACAATACCCATAGTAAGTGTTTCAGGGCGAGTGTTACAGTACTGAGAAGAAGACTGATCAGCAGATAACTGATCAGTTTGACACTGACAGGCATCACCTCTGTAATCCAGTCCTGCTCTCTTGGTTTCAGGAGCTCTGTCAGGGCGCCTCCTCTGTGTGTGCCCCCTCTCTCATATACACAGCACAATATCTTTACTCCCACAAGATTAATGAATAATTCATAATTATTTCAAAGAAAAAGCTACCACACTCAAAGATTTATAAATTGCCTTGTCATTTGCAGTACGCAGCAGAAATATTGTTAAACACAGCCTGAAGTCTTCCACTTGAAAAAGTTGCAGAGGTGGATGGTTAAGGCAGGTAACCGCTGTAAATGGGATGTGGCAGTAAAATTAAAAAGAATTTTTAAAAAAAGGCTTTTATGTGGGTGAGCTCACCACAATACCAGCTTCAACATTCAGTAAGCCAGCTTTCACACATGACAACACTTTCTCAAGACTCTAAATACCCCTGAGGTACCTGCCACCTGCTTTAGTCCTTTATGCCCTACTAACTTAGCCCTGCCTGTGACCTTGTTTTTCTGTGATGACAGTACTGCTGGATTCTCACTTGTTCTTTGGGGTGTTATACTCTTCTACATATACGTTCACTATACAATACATGTACACAGACAAAGATGCAATAAGAGACTGATACCATATCAGTGTAACTATATCTCCTTTTCCTTTAGTAATGTGAGGCTCAGCTCAGCCAGACATGGATATAGTATTATAGTCAAGTAAAAGTGCAATCAACATGGTTAGACTAACCTCTGGACAGCTACTGGAATTTCTACTTTATCATGATCTGATTAATTGTTTACCATTCTACTAAATTCTACACAACAATAAATTGCATTTGTCTACCAGCACACTTACTATGTACATGCACATGCAAGTATAAGAGTTCACATATTTTACATTTTCTAATCATGATCCCAGGTTACAACTTGCTGTCATTTGGCTCTCAGAGTTCAACCTCTGGATCACTGTGAGCTGAAACAGCTGAAATGAGGGAAATCATCTGGAAGCAATCAGCCTGCCTCATTTTCAAATCAAAACTGTCCATGTTAGCGGGGTTCATACTGTAAATAAAAGCATCTGTTGTGCAGACACCACGACATGAACTGTGTGTGAGACACAGAACGAAACAGAATGAGGACTTTGTAATGATATTTAACATTCATAGCAGTTTCCTGTCAACCCATTGCTTGTTTTTGTGCTTTCAAAAGGTCATTATTTCAGCCCCTTTAACCTACGGCCTACATGTTCCCCACCATCCATCCCTCTCCACCAATTTCTCTCACTTCTGTAACCTTAACTCTGTATTAAGGAATTTTGAGAAATGACTCAAGTTCAAAGTCAGAACCAATGACAATGAGATCCTTTACATGTGTTTTCCTCTGCAAATCCAGCCACATAGAGTGGGATTTGGTCAATTTAGAGTTATATAGAAAATGATGTACATTGAAATATTGCAGATAAAAGTATAAAACATCCCCACAGATTATTAATTAACTATTTTTTGAATTGCCATATACTTAAGTTTTTAGTCTCGCTGGAATCAGGACTGATTTAATAGAAGGATATAGGCTGACTCTAGGATGCTAACCAGGAAGTGGCCTTAGTTCTCATTTAAGTAATACTGCTTTATGTCCAAGAAACACATCTGTTTTGTTTTTATTGCTTTTGTGTCTACACCCTTCTGTGACAAAACAGGAAACCATTTTGATTACTCAGCAGTACAATACAGCATAAACCTAATTCAGAATCTGGGTTTAGATATCTTTATTAGTTCCCAGTTTGACACTGAGCTATAACTCTTGATAGCTTATTAAAATTGTGCTATTTATTCTAAACAGTAAAAAGTACAGCAAATGCTTGACTGCAAAATCCACTAAGCAGACAAAACCTGAATCTCATAATTCCCAAACTTCTACATTTACAGTCAAAACGATTGATGTTGCTACATATGGTAGATATATTTTACCACACTGCATACTGTATTACTTTAGCCACGGCACCTAATCAAAATGAATCAAGTTGTTATCATAACATTTACATTATACACAGCTTTGAGCTCATCTTCCCACATCACCAACTACACAGCAGTCTGAGAGCAGCCCTCTAGTGGTAAGGTTTGCACACTACAACTTCATTTAGCAGCATGTTCTGTACATTGTATAGTTCATAGTCATTTATTGGAGAATCATTCTAATGGTACAGATTATTTTCCTTTCCTATTTCCCTTTAGTTGTCACTGTCATTGGTTCGCCATTGTTTCTTGTCATTGTGATTGAGAAGTTCTGTCCAAATCATTTTACTTCAAACAGGTACATGACTCATGGTGATTCCTCTCCACTGATGTGTTTTTGCTTGTGCCTGCAGGTACCAAACACAAAACTATCCTGGAGGCACGAAGTGGGCTGGGCCCCATCAAGGCATATCCTCGCCTGGGCCCCAAGCCCATTGGAGAGCAGGGAGGGGGGCCAGTGGACCCCAACACTCAGGAACGAACTTTCCACTGTGAGATCTGCAATGTGCGGGTCAACTCTGAACTGCAACTTAAACAGGTAGAAGGACAAAGATGTTGCATTTACTGTTGGTTTTGATAGTTATCTTGTAAAACACCTCACAGACAATATAACTAGAAAAAAGTGTTAAGATACATTTTTCATGCTAACAAGCATTTTTTGAAAACATTTCAATTGCCACAATTAATTATTAATGTAACCAACATTCTTTTCATTTCAGCACATCATAAACTCTAGGATCTAAATAATGGTCCAGTGTCCATTTTGTCCATTTTTATTGTCTAATATGAGAGATGTTTTCAGCAAAAGTGAGAAAATTTGAATTAATTTGTTCTCTTCTTTCAGCACATATCAAGTCGAAGGCATCGGGACGGCATGGCAGGAAAGCCTAACCCCCTCCTCAGCCGACACAAGAAGCACAGAGGAGCTGATCTGACGGTAACCTTTCAAGTTTCACTGCTCTGACTCCTCTTCTGACATGGTCTGCAAACCTAATATCCACAGATCATATATACTGTACAGTGATAATTGAGAACATGAGGTCTCCAAGGCATCGGAGTTGTTAGCGTGTTGATTTGATTCCCACAAAAGCCTAGTAGTTGCATCTTGTTTAGCTGTGTAAATGAAATATCTGCATTATGACAGATCAAAAGAGCTTGGAGAGGAAGTTCTACCATATTGCCTGCCTTCTTCCCCTCCAAGTATCGACCTTTTGAAAATAATCATTTCATGCCTTTCACACTCTCCTCTCTCTGCTGTCTTGTGTCCCTTGTGCACCCCCTTCTGTTTTTAGTCTTCTTTGACCTTCTCTAAGGATTTCACCAAAGCTTTGGGTGCAGGGCTCTTGCCCAGCCCCTTGGCTGTCGCTGCAGCAATGGCTGCTGCAGCTTCCTCGAATCCGCTGGCTCTTCGTGCCGCAGCTCCTGCACATCATCCACACCATCACCTATTGCAAGGCCCACCTCTAAGCCACACCATCCTAAGACCAGCCCCTGGGCCCATCCGTACCACCCACGGCCCCATCCTCTTCTCCCCTTACTGACACATCATCCTCTGACTTCGGCCAGTTAGAAACAGCCACTCCAAAAGCACACTGTGAAGATACAAACATGATCAAGAAACAGCAATTGATAGGGGGTGAAAAATTAACCATTAAAATATCAAGCTGAGAGAAAAGTAAAGAAAAGGAGCAGCGAAAAGGAGTAGAAGTACATGTCTCTCTTTGTTCCCTTTACCTCTCGCTTTGTTTCAAAGATTTCTGAGTGATCCACAGCTTGGAATAAGCAGAGGAGAGCTATTCATTATGCATTGAACTCACTTGTACATCTCTCACCTCCCCTGGTCTCTCTCCCTTGTACTGTGGTCCTGCCATGGCTGACTCATTAGTTACAGAAGAAACAGAGACCTTTCTAGATACATTAAATCAACATGTTGTATTACATAACTATTCTGGGCCAGGTTGGTTTTCTCCTGTCATTATGGCCCAAACTGTTCTTCTCATCCTATGCACCTCAAAAACCAAGACAATAATATTATGTCAGTAGGGTAGCTGCTTCCATTGGTCTTTGCTGTACGTACCACATGTAGCTGTGGCCGTCTCCACGGTACAGTACATGTCCCCTTCTGTGCCAGAGACTGGTCACTCTCAAGTTTGTGACACTTAGACACAACAAGACTTTGGCTGAGAGGCAGGTAGTACCTGCATCTGAACATGTCTGATGATTGGAGGGGTTAAAAGAGTACAAAAGTGACTGTGGGTGATTGCACTCCACTGTCATTTCCTGAGAGGGTGAGGTGAGAGGAGGGCCGACATGGGTCAATGGATGGAATGACCCCAGGCAGCATGTAGACACACACAGGCCCAAACAAATCTATGTTTTAAAATAGACCATACCAACAAAAAAATCACTACAGGGAACAGCTGCCAACCTTCATAATGGTCAGTGAAGAACCTCAGCAAAGGGGAGAGAGGATGAGAGAAACACTAGAAGTCACCATTGGTACATTATGTACTGTACTGCTATATTTGATACATGATCACTGTCTTTACCTTAGATTTCATTTAATGGCAAGATTTGGGGTTTTACTTGCATTTATGAAATACTGTACTAGAGAGAACATAATTTATATGCATTTGATGAGACCTCTGTTCACATTAGGCCATCATACCATCGTGACTTCTTTACATCTCTCTGGTCTTCATTCAGCCTGATTCACCGTGTAGGTGGGAAGGTATGATTAGGCGTATTGATGTATTAAGTTGTTTCTGCTTACAGCAATAAGGTCCTGCAGGGTCAGGCTTCTGCATTATTGAGTTCACCACTTCAATCCTGCCCCATTCTCCTCCTGCCCCCCCCAATCTCCAAAGATTGATATGATTTTATGGTAGAGGGCACAGTAGCACTGGCAACCACAATGCTGAAAGGGAGCAAATGCAAAAGAGGGCAATGAAAGCCAAATACATTTTTAAAGAAATGATCTTGAGCTGGAGTAACAAGCAGGCCAGAAGCCCAGCGAGGCCATGCCGGAGTGGAAGCTGAGATGTCTAGTCTGATGCATCTATTGATAGCTCATGTCTTACAACTGAAAGCCATGAAAACGCACCATGATTTGTTTTGTTTTACAAAGACTGGTGAGCACTTTCTTTTGTTTGGTTTGGACTGTTTGTGTTTATGTCACACATTTAAACAAAAAGCAAAATAGAAAATACAAGAAAATATTTTTGTAGGTAGCAAGTGCTAATAACTGCATCCATGAAGGGAAAAGGAGAAATATGATAGATTATATAAGTATTGACAGACAGACTGACACACTGGGAGACACAGTAGGGAACCTCTAAAGGTAGCTAAGCAGCAGCAGCAGACTTATCTTGCTCAAGAGCTTGAAACTATAACCCTTTTCTGAACAAGATGTACACTGTGCCCTTTCATTGAGAAGCAATGATCTCTAATGTCTTACTTTTGTCTGAATCTTGAAATGCAATGAGCAATTTTTATCAGAGTGACTTGTTATCATTGTGACATGTTGTGACATGTTGTCTGGAGTCATGTGTAAACTGGGAACACGCCAGCTGACAGACTTTTCTGTTCTTCCATGAGAAGTGCAAACCCTCAAAAGAACTGAGAGAGGGACAGAGAGAGGCAGAGAGCAGAGATGAGGCTGGGCTTAGGGACCGGCCCTTCATATTAAAGGGCCTTTTTACCATGGTAATCTCTGCTTGGGGAACAGGGTTTAAAGCCAGACATCAGTGGAGTAAAGCTAGATGTGTTCAACAGACATGGTTTTAGTTGGACATAGTGGGTCGCGTTATTTTTTTTCTGTGTGTGAGAAATGTGTTTAAGTGAACATCACATCCAGAGGAACATTATCAATGCCATTGCTTAAAGAAGGAGCTGGTATCATCTTCCACCGTTGTGCTCTTTTTGTTGCTGAATAAAGCCTCCTTTGCAGAGCTCCTTTTGTGAGTGAGATGCTATTCCAGGATCTGTGTTCTTCTTCCCATTGGTGTGTGTACCCTATGTATTCTAGTGTGTGTTGGGACCTGCTCTCTCCCCACTTCCCACCAATTAGAGACAGAGGCAAACCTGGAGGTATAAAGTGGCCTAACACAATAATGGAGACTAAAACCTGAACTTTTGGTTTGGGAAGACTGATAAATCATCCTGGATTCTATCAGAGACTTGATCAATAACTCAACCTAAGCAAAATACTGCAGTTTTGTCCCTGGTAGTTCAGTCAAGTAGCGGCACCACAGTCATGTTCATATTGTCCTTGATATGTTCATGCTGTGGTAATTCCCATCCTCATTGTTCACATATGGGAAATAAATGTTAGATTCTTATTTCTGGGCAGGTATTTCATGTTAGCTGTGTTTAGGCTACTAGCCTTAGCCTTATTCTGCCCTCAGTCTCTCCCAGAGCAGAAACAGAGAGAGAGATGTAGAGGCTATGGTGTAATTTTGTCTTGCCAATAAAGTTATTTTTGAATTTCATCGTCAGAGGGACAAAGGGTGTGTATGGCGAACTGTAGCAATACCTGACTCATTCTGGCTACTCTTGTTTATTGCAATAAGAAAATTAAACAATAAATGTGTATGTGAGTAAAACATTATAAATGTAATTTAAATGAAAAAGAACCTTTATGGTAAATGCTATTGGTATCAAGAGAAAACATGGTGGAAAAAAGTAAATGTCAATAAATCATTAAATGAAACTAATGTCTGCAGAGTTTTTATGAATTAGTCACAGTGTAGTCCAACATCTTCTATTAAACATCCTAATGCATACAGAAATATATCTGGAACCATATCTCTGATACATGCATGTGCATCTCTTAGTGCAACCCCAGTCCATATATACTATGTATCCCACTGTGATTCTGTTTTTAGAATGATATCAAAAACAGGTAAATGCAGGGGTTACAGCTACAAATCACAAAATGTATTCTTTCTCTTAACAATCACCATGAGCCACAGTGACTGTATTATTAAATTATCATAGAAGAACTCCAGGATGTATCCCAAGATTGCATCACCATTACAAGGTCATTTCCATGCCAAACAAAGGGAAGCTTTGTTTCAGTTTGACCAAACAATACCCAACTTATTACTGTAACATCAGTATAGTGCTAATGCAGAAAACTGCTTTATGTTGATGTTTTATTACCTACAAGAGGTGGCAGACTCTGAGAGGCAGGAGTGAAAAAAAAAGAAAGAGCGCCTGATGTATTCAGTGGACCTCATCAGCAGGGAAGAGTAATGCATGCCTGGTTAAAAGGCTACATCTTCTAGTTACGATTGCCATTTTTAAAGCGGGAATGAAAACAGAAGGACAACAAAACCTCTATAAGTACAAAGAGCTGATGTCATACAGCAGTGAGGCACACTGTTGAGCATGTTTTCCAGCAGTCCCCAACAGTTCTGGCTCAACCCAGTGCAACATGTGATATGCTCAAAATACTGTACCTGACTTAGTAAATGTGAAGGCCATTAGCAGGTGTAGTGGGGCAAGGAGTGGTGGGAAACAACAACAATTTATACAGAAGCTTTGGCATACTGTACAACATCAACCTTTTGTCTTTGTCACGTATGTTTTTACCCCTACCAAGGAAATCATTTTTTCACTCCTCTTTGTTTGATTGACTATTAGGGTTACTCAAAAGATTCTCTTTCAGCTTTCATAACATAAATGTTTGCAACCTTTTAGGCTGAGGTTTTAAGCTTTTTTCATCTTCCCTATAATTGCCACTGGCTAATGCAAACATATTGTAATATCTCTCATGTCTTAAATTCTAAGGGCATCTTATATGGCACAATATCTCATGTTCTTCACTGGAAGATGTTTTTCTCTAATACTGTGTACTTCACCATGATCTTTTGTTCATTTAGGGCTGCTTATCATGACATTATGTTTTCTCACTCAATTCAAAGGAAACACCACCCAGAAAGGTTAGTAATCACTGTCTTAAAGTATCATTTTAAGGTAAGCATGTATATAAATATGAGGGGACATAAGGCAGAAGCAAGTACACCTGAAGCAATGCATTATGGTTGACAGTCCCATTTTCTGCTTGTTCCAGATGCAATATGTTTTGTGTTGTTATATAACCTAACATGCTTGTTCCAGATGCAATATGTTTTGTATTGTTATATAACCTAACATACAGTATATATTCAGTGGACACTTTATTAAGGTCAAAGGTTCAAAGTGTTTATTGTCATATGCACAGTAAGGAAAAGTGTTTCCCTGTATAATCAAATTCCTACTTTGCCGTCCTCACTCAATGCCAAACAACACAAGTGAAATATAAAGTAGATAAATAGTAGCACAAAAACTAAAGGCACTTTAAACAAAGAGTGAAAAGAAATATAATAAAAATATAATAAGAACACAATAAGAGATAATGTATGCTACATTGGAGCTGTATGTACAAATATTCAGCAGTGAATGTATAATTATGCATGTGCATCTGAGCATGTGCAGGTGGAATTACATGAAGTAATTCCTGATTGTGAACTCCTGTCAGCTGTTTAGAAGTCTGATGACAGTTGGAAAGAAAGAGTTTTTCAGTCTAGAGGTCCTGCATTTCACACTTCTGAACCCCTAACCTAAGGGTAGATGTGTGAACAGTCCATGCTGGGAGTGGGTGGGGTCCTTGAGGATGGAGGCAGCTTTCCTATGCACCCTGCGGTGGTAAATGCTCTGCAGAGAGGGCAGTGGAGTCCTGGTGATCTTCTCCACAGTCTTTACCACTCTCTGCAGGCACTTGTGGTCCATAGCAATAGTGCTGCCATACCAGACGGTGATGCAGCTGGTCAAGATGCTCTCAATGATGCAGCTGTAGAAGTTCCTGAGGATCCTAGGCGACATGCCAAACCTCCTCAGCTTCCTCAGGAAGTACAGCTGTCGTTGGGCCTTCTTGACCAGCTGTGTGGTGTTAAGTGTCCAAGTGAGGCCCTCACTGATCTGGACACCCAGGTATTTGAAGCTGCTCACCCTTTCCACTTCGAGCCCCCAGATGAACAGTGGCCGATGCTTCCTCATGTCCACTATCATCTCCTTCATCCTGTCTGTGTGGAGGCTGAGATTATTGTCCTTGCACCAAGACACCAGACCGCCCCCCTCCCTCCTGTAGGCTGCTTCGTCCCCGCCAGTGATGCGACCTATCACTGTGGTGTTGTCCAGGAACTTTAGGGTGATGTTGTCTTTGTGGGAGGTGGCACAGTTGTGTGTATTAGGTTTATAAACTAATGCAATCAAACATCTGTTCTACCATATTTACAAAGTTCATAGTTATTCAGAGAGGTGTTTTGAATTTTTTTTGTCCCCCCATTATTTACATGCATGCAGGGAGACTATTAAAAAAAATGAAGTCCAGTGCGAAACCAGAACTAAATATGAACTAAGTTCCCTATTTCAACAGAGGTGTCAGTAGACCTATTATACATACATTTTATACACCTATTACATTGTCTATTGAATAGATAGGTGTACCAAATAAAGCAGACATGGGCATTTTTATGATTTTGAGCATTTCAATATTTGATCCATTTGAGCATTTGACCAAGCAACATGGTTTTGTAATGAGTCCAGCAGAAGCACAAACATAATGACATGCATTTTTTAAATGTGTTTTTCATCTCAGCTTCTATCAGGCATTGTTGAACTTCCTTTATAAGCAGCAGATGCAGTTTGTAGGAGGGGCAGCTGACTGGTGCTGCATTGTACTGTCGAATGAAAAGAAGCATTATTCTGTCTGAAGAGCTCTGCTGACTTCCCGTAAGAACTGGCCCTCATTTCATTGCTCCGGGCGTTTTTAGTTCAAGCATTCCTAAACAATATGACAGCAGTCCTCTATATCTTTGAACAATTCACAACTTAGCCACTAGATGGTCCTATGGCATGACTAAGAAGCAAGTCTACTAGAAACAATGCAGCATGACTGAAAGCAGTTCTTCATTCTGCAAAGGATGAGGAGTCAAAAATATTTACAAATCAAGCTTGTGTAATGTTACAGTGAATTTGATGTAATAATGAAGCCTCATGATTCAGAACATTTACTACTAATCTGTATGGTATGCTTAATAATACATTTAATACATACATAAATTATATACCAATTCAGCTCTGTGAATATGCAGTATATAAAAGAACAATACATAACCATATGGCAGAGCAATGGTCATGAGCAGATGGGACAGATGGTTGCTATGCTATACTATCTTTATTGCCATACTCATCAAAGACATTGTAAAGCTAAATGATCCATCCTGTGGGATTCTGTAGCACATTAGTATGTCACTACTCAAAGATGGATGGTATGATGTTATGTTGTACTGCAGTGTTTGGCATTTAGACAGTTTAACTCTGCTGCTGAGATATGTAACAGTCATCAAGCAAGTGTTTAAACATGTGCACATATGTGTAGCCACTTAAACTGTCTAGTTACACATTCAACTGTCCAACTGTGTTTAGACTGCTTCACAAGTAAACGTCACACTGTCACAATCCCAGTCTTTGTCATGTCTCCACCTTGTCTTGTCCATGCTATTTTAGAGCCAGCCCCTTGTCTTTGTTCATTTTTCTGCTCTGCCCAGACTCACCTGCTGTCTTTCTGTGTAATCACTCAGTATATAGACCAGTAGCCATCAGTCACACTCTGCAAGGCTTTCCACATAGATGTCCCTCATGTGACTTTCCAGCACTAGTACTGTATTTGTATTCCTGTTTCATCAACTCAGCCTGCTCTTCCTGTGCTTGGACACTTTGTTCACTTCATGGATCTGGTCAGTTGCCTGCCCTTTGTTCTACAGTACCTGTCAGACTTGCCTGTGTATAGGCACTTGTTTTCCCTTTGGACCTGATCAGTTATATACTCCTGTCTGAACTGCTTGCCTTGCCTGTGTATAGACTATATTTAGCTCTCTGGGTCTGGTCAGTTGTCTGTTCCTTTTCAGAAATGTTTGCCTTGCAGTATTGTACTTATCTAAGCCAGCCATCATACCTACAGTACACCTATCTGTGTTCCTGTTCCCTTCCTCAGAACCTGCCCGTGTCGGTCATCTTAGAGCTTGCCATCTAACCAGTCTCCTGAGCTACTGGTAATCTGTGTCACCATTCACTGTTCACCACAACCTAGTTGTGTCTGATGTCTTGGTGTCTGTGTTTGGGTCCAACAAGGCTGCATTCATATTACAGGCCCAAATGCTTCATTTTGATCTTTTTGTCAGATCTGATCTTTTTGTGTTGATAGTTCACATTTGAACACCACTGAAATGTGAGCCACATGCAACACTGTCATTTCCATCCATCCATCTACTTTCTATACTGCTTAGTCCCAAACGGGGTCACGGGGGGCTGGAGTCAATCCCAGGCGGCTGCGGGCGAGAGGCGGGGTACACCCTGGGCAGGTCGCCAGTCATTTGTGAGATAAAATTGTGCAATTTCCTAAAAACAGTTCTGGTTTGATATGTTTCTTCCAGTTTGGCTCAATCAGAAACTTCTCCATTAATGTTCAACAGATGTGAAGCCTCCTCATCTCTCCATTGACACTGAAGAATGGCAAGAGGCAATATGCACATGCTCAAAAAAAACAAACAAACCCATGAATCAACTGTCATCGGTCTCATCCAAGACGGTGACATGTCTGCGTACAGGTGGGAGGTTGAACTGGCCTTGTAGTGTCATAGCAA